TGTCAGCAGGACTGCACTTAATCTTGCCTCTTCCAATTATGGTGGCTTGGGGGGCATTCCAATACCTGTGTCACATCACTCCATTCTCTGCCTTTGTCTTCCATCGCCTTCTCTTATGGTGTGCATCAACTCTCCCTCGCCTCGCTCTCATAAGGACACTTGTGATTGGATTTCAGGTCTGCCTGGACAATCAAGTCAAGATCCTTGACTTAATCACATCTGCAAACACCCTTTTACTTCATAAGGTAACATCTACAGGTTCCAGGGTTTAGGATCTGATATATTTTGTGCCATTATTTGGCCTCATCCGAGTCCAAAATCTTTGCAGACAATTTTAGGAAGATCATGGATTCCAGGTAGGAACATCTGCTCTGGAGTTGCATTTCACACAGATATGCTGTAGACAGATACATTGCAGACAGGCCATTTACTTATCACAAACCTCTCTACATCTAAGGATCAGCTACAGCGCTGGTTAAAATTATGATAAATACAAAATCACATCTCCAACCCCCTAGCCAATGAATCAGAATCCCCAAAGATGGGGCCCAGGAATCTGCATTTTAAACAAGCTCCCAAAATGATTCTGATGCAGCCAGTCTTGCACCATACTGAGTGAATGTTGGTTAAGGGCCTGGTGATTCCAAGTACCATCTCTGTTAAATACTGCACTCCTTCACAATAAAAGAGGAGAGGGCTGTGCAAGACTATTTAAAACAAAGAAAGTGCGAATGCGTTTTCCACCCCTTCCCCCTGTACAAAGGTGAGGAACTTTTACTGTTCATTTGATTTTCATCCACCTTTGTTTCACGCACCTGGCTTCAAGACGCAGAGCTAAGCCGAGGGAGAAGAGAGAGGGAGAAGCTAGGGTGGGTGGAGGGAGAAAGAGCCGCAACCTGCCCAGTAACAGGCAAATCCGCTCAGCCGACCCAACCAAGCTGCACTTGACGCCCGCGCCGCTGCGCCCCCGCCCCTTCGGGCCGCGGCTGTGAGGGGCAGGGGGCCGCCCCCGCGCTCCGCTGATTGGCCACGCCGGCCGCTCGTCACGCTCTTTTGTCTCAGCGGGCGGAGGATAAAAGCTGCGCGGCTGCCTTGGGAACCGCGCTGCCTCGACTGGGCTACCCCTTGCTGGGCACCCTGCGAAGCAGCCCATCAGGCAGCCCCTGGTCGCTCAGCGGCTGTGCGGCGCCTGTCTTTTCTCCTGCAGGGCCGCGGAGAAGGGAAGGCGGAATCCACAGCTGCTGGCGCCTGAGTCAGCTGCCCACCAGCGCAGCGCGGTAAAGACGGCGCGATGCCCGCGCGGACAGCGGACAGGGAGGGAGAAGCCCCGCCAGTGGCTGGCGGCTCCCGGCTTGCAGAATCGGTAACTGAGAGCAGGGGAAGGAGCACTCCGTGGCCGGCTGCGCTGAGGAGGAGGTGGGTTCACCTGGATGCTGCAGACTGGTAGGATTTGCCTGCATTGGGGGGGGGTGGGACTCACAAGCTGTTTGCCTTGAACCCCTTGGCATCTCCTCATCCCTTCCCAGGGAGGAATATGTGGGTGGGTGTGTTCCAACTCCTATTCCTTTCTCCGTAGCTGGCCATCAAAGGCACCACCTGAACTTGAATTCTGTGCAGCTGATTGCAGAGCTGGTAGGCGGCGGTTTCCTGGGGGGGGGGAGTGTAATGCGGGTGTAGGGGACTCTGGCTTGTATTCCAAGGGGCAGAGGGAATTTTCCACCTGGCGACAGCGGAGGCTGCGGAGGGAGGAGGGAGGAACAGGATGACGGGGGAAACTGTTTGTGACCCTTCTCTTCCCTGGCCGCCTCCGCTGTGGCGCAGTCTTGATGCCCGCCTAGAGGACCCGGATCTGCGACCCCCTGTGGACAGAGATTGACCATATCCCTGAGACGAGATTTCTCAC